TATAACACATATAACATTAATTATCATCTTAGCAACTGTTTTCTACTTTACAATACTTCACACAACTCGTTATTAGTCAAAACTTTTTGTAAGGAACCTTTTCTAAAATGTTAGACTGCTTTTAGGACCAATGATTATTACGACAAACAAACACAAGACTTTTCAACATATTTTGTTATCACTCACTTTTTGAAAAACTTTTTAGAAAGTCACTCATCTTTTAATTGTTTTAAGTCAAACACACTTAACTGTTAAGTTCTTAAGTGATGAGTTATCAAAAATTAGACACATCTTGTTAATATATGTAGTACTAATTAATTCTTTTAAATTATCATTAATTATACAATCTCAATATAAATTTTTAGATATCCCTTATTTTAAGATGTCGAGACTGATACACATATGGATAGATTTACAAAACAATATATTCACAAAGTTCTTTTACTTGTTTTAAGAAGTATTGTAGTAATTTATTAACAAGGGCTTCATTTTTTTAAATCTAAACTTTAAAGACTTGTTGATTCTAGTAATAATTACAAAATGAATCATTCGGATTTTTCAATTCATAAACGTGGATGTCAGAACTTTAATAAATGGAAATACCCCTAAAACTCACAAAGTAAAAAAAAAAGGAAATGAATTAAAAAAAAAGCTCAGACAAAAGAAAAGGTGATTTAAAAAATACGTAACTAGCTTAGCCAAAATTTTATTTTATTTTTATAGAAAAACGTTACAGCAATCAATGGAATAAAAATTATTATAACTGATTAAATTAACAACTATTCATTTAAAACTTGTGTTTGAATCAATCACCGAGAATGTGAGTCAACTTAAACAAAGTTTTTACAATTTTATAGTGTGACTAGAACATGATTGCCATCGGTAAATAATACATTCTGCCTAAAATAAAATCTTGTGCTCGACAATTGTTTTTTTACTCAATTCTTTGAATATATAAATAAACTCAAAAGTTCAAAATCAATAACCCTAATGTCAATTATCTTATATTTAATCCTTTAAACATGAACAATCTAATTATACACATAAAAGTACGTATATATATATATATATATATATATTACAAGAAATGTTATATATAGTGACATACAAAAAGTATCACTATATGTATAATATATGTTGCTGATGACAAAAATGTGAACTCCCAAGAGGCTCGACTAAGAAGAAATTAAAAAAGGTCCCAACAATGACCAAACACTGTTAAGATCGATTTTGATAAAGCAAATATGATTATGAAGAATCTGTACCTTAGAACTTAGAAGCACTAACTCGTGCGTACCTTATCAAGAACAGTTAGATTTTTGTACACCTTTGTCAACTAAGAACAACATTTTATTATTCACTTTTCGATCGGATGAAAAATGAATGGTGGCAGGCCTTTCAATTTTAATTGTTACACCACAATCCATCAACAAGTTGCATAGTTTATCAAAGCTTATCAATATCGCCAACAATTTATGCTCATGAATCATGATAGTTAAGATATTGTTAATTTTTTTTTTAACGTGTCAATTATGTTTGACTTTTCAGTATATTGGTCATGTATGTGTGAAGATAAGCTTTGTTAACTGGTAAAATTTATTCACTACTAGAATTTCTCTTATTACATGCGACTTTTCTTGCAAATTTTTCATAAAAATTCGCAGGAAACGTTGTTCCTGCAAATTTTCCTGCGAAATTTTATCTCCAGGTAATACTTTCGTGGATAATATTTTTTTGCGAATTTTAAAATTCGCAAGAAATTTTCCTGCGAAATTTCTTACGAAAAAAAATGCAGGAAAGTTTCCTGCGAAAAAAAATTTGTAGGAAAGTTTCCTGCAAAAAAAATTTCGTAGGAAAATTCGCAGGAAAGTTTCTTGCGATTTTTTTGCAAGAAATTTTGCAGGAATATTTTTTACGAAAAAAATTAAAGAAATTACTATAAATTCTATCAATAATTTTTCAACTTAATTTCAAATGCTCACAATGAATTCATCCGAAACATTTGTTTCCATGCCTCCAACATGTGATACATAATCTTTTAAATTCTAAGATTGTAGATTATAAGCGTAACACTCAACCATATAAATCAACTTGTAAGGTAAGTGTTGCCCCAACTTATATACTCTTTAATTGCTTTATTTTCAATCGATGTGAGACTTGAAGTTTTTTTAAAATATTAAACTTATAAATTTAAATATATTTTTTTATTTTTCCTGCGGATTAAAATTTGTAGGAAAATTCGCAGGAAAAGTTACCTGCAAATTTTTTCTACCATTTAGTAAACATTACTTACGAATTTATTTTTGCAAGAAAATCTGCAAGAAACAAAATAAAATTCTTACAATATTTTCTGCAAATTTTTACCATGGAAAAAAAATTTCTATGATTATTAAAATTATAACAACTTTTGTAAGAAATATCTGTAAATTATTTTTCGCAAATAAATTCGCAAAAAATTTCTGCGAATATTTTTTTGTAAGAAAATTCGCAAAAAAATTCTGCGAATATTTTTTTGCAGGAAAATTTGCAAGAAAATGACAATTTTCTAGTAGTGATTTTCATTATCTATATGTTTTGAAAGTAATTAATTATTTAATTTCTGACTGGGAAATAAAATATACATGCCCCTAATGTACAACTAAAAATAGAAAGTTATTATTTAACCATGTTTTTGCCCTAGCTATATAGTTACTCAAATTGGAATTGTAATAAATATCAAAAAACAGAACAAGATAGTTACAATTTAGGATATCAAATCATGGATTAATCATCTATGCATATATTACATGAATTTAGTACATAATCTTATAAATATATGACAAAAGATTTGGTATATCACTACAAAAAAATATGCGATTTGTGGCGGTTATTTTGGCATTTTCTGGCGGTTAAAAATCGCCACAAATCGCATTACCGGCGTCATCAATAACCGCTAGGTCCACGGTCGCCAAAAACGGTTTGTGGCGTAAATTTTGTAAACTCTGGTTTTGGGCGTCAGAAAATTCAATCATTTTGTGGTGGTTTTAAACCGTCACAAAACTCATCTAAGTTTTTCTTGATTTAACATTTCTGGGGGTTTTAACGGCCACAATTGGTCTGCGTTTATTGTAAAGGAGAACTACAATGTTGATAGCCATATAAAATTAAGCAGATGACTTTGATTGTCCCGAGTCTGGTTAGATTATGATCAGGAGCATATTGATAGACATGTAAAATACATACCATATATTTTCCAGATCAGATAAATCTATTAAAATAGTAACTGATAGTGCAAGAAGTTGTTGTTTATGCTCACAATGGTAGGTCCTTATCATATACTACCTAATTACTTTTTATCATATGTGCTTTAGAAGCCTGGTTCGGCTTTTTCATATTTGAAGCTTGCCTTTTTTGCTATTTTTCTAAGTGCTTCGACTTTTTTTCAACATTTACGAAGCTTGCCTTTTTCTCATGTTGTTGCTTTTGCTCTTTATTGTCATCATTGGTGGAGGGATCCATTCCCATGATGTTATTTACTGAATCTTTATTGATGAGTATTATTTTGGAAGCCACTCCTGGCCTTGGTGAGGAAATCATTCCTGGTGGTCTTGACATTCTCTTGGATTATCCTTCATTTTGTGAAGAAGTAAGGCGTGATGGCCTCTTCATGCTTATAGGCTTGATTATTCTTCCTCTTCCGGTTCTATCCCATCTTGCTATTGATGTGTCTTTCTTTTCTTGGTGGCTATATGAAACCACTTGTATGGAATGCCCTTGTTGGGGCTAGGTTTTTTTTTTGACATGATCTTGGCTCTTAAGGCACTGTCTAGCTGTTGATCTTTTTTACGAGTGCTTCGGCCTCTTGATTCCTTCAACAAGTGATGGATAGACACACACAAAGAATGCAAGAATGCAAAAGAAAATGCAGAGTAGGCATGGATTGGATTTTTTTCATTTTTTTAAAAATGAACTTATACCCTTTTGTGCATGCTTGTGCCATATGCATGTTATGCAATGATGCTTCTATGGTAATGCTTAAAATAAAAATTTATTTTTACTATCAAGAAATTAATCTATGTGCATTGATCAATGACATGGACTGTTATGTTGAGCTTAGGGGAGCCTGAACTTGATGAGGTCAAGATTATCTCTGAAGCTTAAAGGAGTTTTGATGATCACAAAATATGTGTCAAAGACAACAACAAACAACAACAACTTAGAAGACAAAAACAAAGTCAAAGAAAGTGCTATGTAATAGGAATTAGTGTATAAATTGTTTTGAATGATTTTATTTGTTGTGTGTGTTGTGTTCATAAGAAAAATCTATATCTAAACTAATTAGAGAGTGTATGATGATGAGTTAAGGATTCGGTAAAAGTTAATCGTCTGTGACTTGGCTCGCCGACCTCCACGGGTATCATTGCATCGGAACCATAAGTCAACTTGTAGGGAGTTTCCTGAGTGGTGGTCTGTGGTGTGCAATGGTATGCCCACAGGACACTAGATAATTCTTCAACCCACTCGCTCTTGGAAGATCCTAACCTCCTCTTAAGCTCACGTAGAATCACTTTATTCGCTGCTTCAGCTTGGCCATTTGTTTGCGGGTGTTCTACGGATGTGACTTTATGCTTGATTCCGAGTTGCACCAAGAATTGCTCAAAATTCTTATCTACAAACTGCTTTCCATTGTCGGTGGTGATTGCTTGAGGTAAACCATACCTGCAAATGATTTTCTTCCAGGTAAAGCGTTGCACATTTGTCACCGTAATGCGCGCTAAAGGTTCAGCTTCGATCCACTTTGTGAAGTAATCAATTCCTACAATTAAAAATTTTAATTGACCCTTGGCAATTGGGAAAGGACCGAGAATGTCCATTCCCCACCACGCGAAAGGCCATGCTGATTGCATGGAGTGGAGTGCTGTTGCAGGTAACTGATGTAGGTTGCCAAATTTCTGACAAGCTTGACATTTTTGTACATATGCTTTGCAATCCGATCTCATAGTTGGCCAATAGTATCCAGCTCAGACCACCCTTGCAGCCATGGATCGAGCTCCAGAATGCATGCCACAAATGCCTCTATGGATCTCGTCCATTACGTACTCAGCTTGATCCGAGTTAAGGCATTTTAAAAGGGGTACTGAGAATCCCCTTTTGAATAATTCACCAGCTTCGAGTGTGAAATGGCAAGATTTGGCTTTGACCTTTGAAGCTTCAACTTTGTCGCTCGGTAAAGTACCGTTTGTGAGATATTGCCATATGCTTAACATCCAACTGGACTGACCAGGATTGTTGGCCAAAACTGCTATAGAATCATAGCTTGGTGCGCTAATTGTCTCCTGAATAATTGTTTTGTGCTGTCCTGGACGTTTAGTACTGGCTAGTTTGGATAGCAGGTCAGCTCTAACATTGTGTGCTCGTGGAACATGCTCAATCTGAAAATGGTCAAAAGAAGAGGTTAAATGAGACACCATAAGGTTATACTTTTGGAGTTGTGGTTCCTTGGTTTGGTAACTTCCTTCGACTTGCTCTGTAATTAGTTTAGAATCGCTGCAACATTTGAGCTTCTTAACACCAACATCTTTTGCCAGTCTTAAACCTGCAAGTAGAGCTTCGTACTCTGCCTGATTGTTAGTGGCTCGGAAATCAAATTTAATTACAAGCTCAAGCATCATATCATTAGGACCATCAAGGATAATACCAGCACCACTACCTTTGGTATTAGACGAGCCATCGACATGTAAAATCCAACATTGATCTTCCAATGGGAGGCTAGGTGTGAGCTCAGCTATGAAATCAGCAAGACATTGGGCTTTCAAAGCTCCTCGGCTTTCATACCTGATTCCGTATTCAGATAGTTCAATCGACCAAGTTGTCATCCGACCTGGGAGATCGGGCTTCCGAAGTATCTGTTTAATAGGGTAATCAGTCTTGACCACAATTTGATGACTTTGGAAATACGGCCTTAGTTGGCGCGCCGAGGTTATTAAGGCTAGGATCAATTTCTCAATAGTTTGGTACCTCTTCTCGGTTGCCTGCAAAACACGACTAATAAAGTAAATAGGAATTTGTTTCTTACCGTCGGTTTGCATAAGTGCCGAGCTGATTGCATTATCAGCTACGGCCAGGTATAACAAAAGCTCGGCATGTTCCTGAGGTTTGGTTAGGATAGGGGGTGTAGACAAAAAGGTTTTGAAATCCACAAATTCTTGTTCACACTGGGCGTCCCAACAAAAATCCTTGGGTTTTTTGAGCAAGTTAAAATTAGGTTTGGCTTTTTCCGCCATTTTAGGAATGAACCGAGATAGACTAGCGAGCCTGCCTGCCAATCTCTATACTTCCTTGTGATTTTGGGGACTCCTCATGTTAATCAATGCCTGACACTTGTCTGAATTTGCTTCTATCCCTCGGCAAGTTAGCATGAATCCTAAGAATTTTCCCCCTTGAACTCCAAAAACGCACTTCTCAGGATTTAACCTCATGTTGTATTTTCGGATTTGTTGGAGAATCTCCTCAAGATCTCGGACATGATTAGTGGCTGACTTCGTCTTGATGACCATGTCATCAACATAGACTTCGAGATTACGCCCAATCTGTTCGGAAAATACCTTGTCCATCAATCTCTGATATGTCGCACCTGCATTTTTAAGCCCAAATGGCATGACGTGATAACAGTAATTAGCTTGTTCTGTGATAAAGTCAGTGTACTCTTCATCTGGAGGATACATGAGAATCTGATTATAGCCTGAGTAAGCATCCAGAAAGCTTAGCATGGCATAACCAGAAGCTCCATCCACCAGCCTATCAATGCTGGGTAGAGGATATGCATCTTTCGGACAGGCTTTGTTTAAATCTGTGTAGTCGACACACATACGCCACTTGCCGTTATATTTCTTGACCATTACGACATTGGCTAGCCAAGTGGTGTATGTAATCTCTTTGATGAATCTGGCATTCAACAATTTTTGAGTCTCAATTTTAACAGCTTCTCTTCTTTCACCACCGATCTTCCTTTGCTTATGAGATATTGGCTTTGCTTCTTTGTAAATAGCTAATTTGTGGCAAATAAAACTGGGATCTATCCCTGGCATATCTGCACTACTCCAGGCAAAAAGGTCAGCATTTTCAATTAAAATTGACATGATTTTACCTTGGAGCTCGGGCTCTGTGTGCTTTCCGATTTTGGTGCATTGTCCCGGTTTCTTTGCTGTGATGTCTATGAAGTATATGATGCATACATCAATTTAGTTAATCTTGCCTTCAAATATAAAAACATAGGTTTAAATTCGTGAGTTCATCATATCTAACAAAAAAAAAATGTCAAACACCATGAACATTACTATCTAATGAAGATCCTCCTTGTGGTGTTGGCATGTCATGTCCACTCCCTTCATCCTATAAAATACAAATTGTTTAATGTTATCCTTGTTAATAAAATATGCAAAAAAAATATTAAACTTTAATTAAGTATTAATGTAATTTAATTTAGTGCAAAAACATATAAAAACATTTACCGCTACATTACTACTACCACTACCAAACATAGCCTCTAACTCAGTAGGAATATGTCCTTCCTTCATTTGTATGTAAGCAAGCATGACATTTTTTAATGTCATGACATTTTCTTGAGAATTTGCCAATTGACCCTTCAAACTAATTACTTCATTTTTTAGTTGAGAATTTTCTGTGGAATCAGAATTTGAAGAACTGCACCCTACACCACTAAATCTTGTGGATGATTGAAATGCCACACCATGTAGACCTCCTAATCCCAAGCAACGTACATGTCCAGCATGATCCTTTCCCAACACTTTACTAAGACTATCATTAGTTGAAATTTCATTAGAGTTGTCACTTTGACACATTTCTGTTGACATCTTCTCCTGAAAGAAACATGAATGAGTTCTTAATTTTCTAACCACCATTTTAAAGGTTTCCGGTCTATCACTAAATTGAATCATTGTGTTCGAAGCATGTTATCACCCATTAAGCAAAATATAATGTTATAGCCTCGCGAAGAAACATTCTACAGAAATTCCCAATAAGGCAGATTTGAAGGGCAAAGGAATTTCAACTTCAGATCTAATATTAACTATTAAGGGCATAAATTCTTGCAAGAAATCGTTTTTGGTACATTTGTTATCTCTAGCTTCAAATTTCAGGGAATTTTGTTTATATAGATTTGTTCCACAACCATTAGTTGAGCAATCACCTATCAAAAATTAGAAGCAATTCACTAAAATTGTTTCTTCAATTTTAGAAGTCATCTAATCAAGCAAGACCAGCAGGGTAAGATATAATACTCAACAGTGTATTGCAGGCTCAAAATTCAGAAATTAGAAGAAAATTTAGGAAATGGTACAAAAGACATACTCATATATCACTCGGATGGGGTTGACAAATTACACATAATTAATGCAGTAGAAAAAAATGTTTGGGACATATTAGATATGCTTCCCATTTTTTTATTATAGACAAATTGGGGACTACCTAGTAATTTAATTCATAATTCATGCACAGCCATTTCATGTTCATATAAATGTGCAAAGGATATAAAAAGGAAAGGAAAGAAGATAGAGGGGTAAGCAAAAATGTGGAGAAGATTGAGGGAGAGTATTAGAGTTTCTCGATTGCTCTCTGTTTCAATTTTCTGTCTTCCATAGTAAATCCACCCCTCAGGTGTTGATATGACACTGACATCAATATCTGCACAAGAATTGTGCACTACATTCACCACAACTGAGTGTTTTGAACCAGTTTCTATCAACCTTCCTTTCAAGGTTTTACTGTCTTAATTCATTTAACCTTTTAAAATTAACACCCCTTTGAAAAATGACAAGGGTTCAACCTAACGTAATGAGAGTACCACTTGGAATAATAAGGGGAACATCATATAATAACAGTTAGAACTAAATACTAACCATATCAAACCATTGCAAGAGGAGACAACCATGCGCTTGGTAGTGTCATCACTCCGGACCCAGGGAAACTAAGTTACTAGAATAAATTAACACATTTTAAAAATAAGAGGATTACCCTAGTTGTAGCTTGCATTCTCTCAACATAAGAGTTCATAAGAGGATCCATTGCACCGCTCTCAGAGCACACTTGGGCTAAAAACTCATCAACTCCAAGCCCAATCAGAATATCTTGGTATTCAACCACCCAACCAATTACCTGCTTCGTAGAAAAACATAAGCATAAGTGTGTTTTTTTCCCATAGAACATAACAAGAAAAAAAAAAGGTTGCTAAATTCCATTGTTTGCCTGTTAATCACTTTTTTGTTCCATTTTATGTTAATATCACATCACAACATAGCTTCCATTTTCTGTTAGTCACTTTTCTGTCCCATTTTATGTTAATATCACATCACAACATAGTCTGCAATACAAATGAATGGGAAAGCTAGTATTCTAGTAGCTTAGTTTCCCATATGCTATCTAGGAAGAATATGACATTCTAATTATGTGACAACATGTGATACATCAATAGCAACTCCAGTGAAATACATTCAATATCTCAATATTTGTTAATTCATTCGCCCTGTCGCTAAGCAATCTGAGCATCTGAATAAACCTCTTAGTGTAGATTTACCATTAGTTGGAATATTTCATATCTGCCAGAATTAAAAAAAGAATTAGAACAAATAAAACATGTACATAAAGAAACCATATATCAATGAATGCTTCCGTAGATTAAGTGAAATGTGTAGTTTTACTCAAAACCAACCAACCTCAATTTATTCTAAAAAATTTAGTGAAATGTTTATGCACTAAAAAAATTAACACCCAGGGACAGCATAAAGTTGTAAAAACAACAACCAACCAACCTCAACGAGTTCATTCAGATGAACTTATCTAGTTTTCATTTTTATATATGCATTAAGCTTCAGACCACCATAACAATTCAACCACCATATGAATAGACGAACCCTACTTGTGTATCCTTCGTACAAATCCGCATGATTAAGAAAATTAAAAATCGAGCATTACAAAACAAAATCTAACCTGATAGCCAGGAAAAGGAATGCTTAAAAAAAATCCTCGAAATGGAAGCTTCAGACCGATCTACGAGCTCAGATCGCATCGAACGATCACTTTTCACAGTACGATCGATTCCTTGCAGATTTCTTCCTGGGTTTTGCGTTTCTCTTCAAAATGAAATTAATGAAAATAGAGTAAACTCGATGCAATTAGATATTTCAAAACTCACCTTCAATGGATTTCTGAACAAATGCACAAATGAATATTGATAACGAAAGACTAGATCTCGCTAGTAGATTCTCAATGGGTTTGTGTAGTTTCGTGTAAGAGGAAGGAATGCGTGCAGGGATTGTAAAAATGCATTTCAATTTGGTTTATATTTTTATAACAAAGGAAATTGTTTTTATATTATTTTATTTAAATTATTTTTATTAGTTTTCTTTTAATTTTTGAATCTAAGAAACACATTGGTCACCCACTGAGATGCGGAAATAAAAGGAATTGAACATTTTGGCGGTTTGAAACCACTAGAAAATGCCGTCACTTCTTGCGACTAATATTTATGCCACAAAAGTAATATTTTTTGGCGGTTTATTGAAACCGCCAGAAAAAAACCGCTAATAATTACCCAATTTTTTGTAGTGTATAAATCTATCTTTAGGGGAAAAAAAGTAATATATACAATAAATTATTCTTTTGAATTAATTTCAATATCTCAAAAGAGTAACCCTTGATTTTTGGTTCGGGCATAACTTATGTCACCCAAAAATAATCTACGTATATACACTACTTTTCTTGATTGTTGAAACTTGAAAGCAACAAACCAAATCTCATGCCACTTTTCTTAAATTTTTATCACTAGTATAGAATACACATTCTACGTCGGTTATTTTAGGGGTTTTATGTCGGAAAAACCTTCGACGTCAAAGCAGGAGACGTAAATTTACGTCGAGTGCAAAAACTGACATAAATTTACGTCGAACATTACAAGGTCCGACGTAAAAAGTTGTAAAAAAATTATAAAAAAAGAAAGAAAAACGACTGCAAGCAGAACGGGTCGTTCTGGTTGGAGAACGGCCCGTTGTCCAAGTAGAACAGCCCGTTTTGCATGGAGAACGGCCCGTTCTGAATGGTGAACGACCCGTTCTTAATGGTGAACGACCCGTTCTGCATGGAGAACGGGTCGTTCTCCAATCAGAACGGCCCGTTCTACAACCCGGACTTGGACACTTCCTTCTCCAGCTTCAAAAACTCAGAATGCAACGCAAACATCACCTTCCTATTCCCGTGAACACACTCAACAGAAGACGCCACCTCATAGAAGCTCCAAGAAAAACCCATGACCAACGCAACCGTCCAAAGAAGAAGAACATCATCACGCGAATCAACCTCTTCCCCAACCTTCATAAGCTCCAGAGGAGGTAGAACTTGTCGAAGCGGAGGGCGTTGATGCCGGACCACTCGCGGCGCATGGTGGCTCCGACTGCGAGGGCAGCCACAATTTAAGGAGGAGGCGGAGGATTTCTCGCATGTGGCCTCTATTGCACAACGTGCGGGAGAAGGAAGTTTTTGAAATCTCTTACTTGAACCTCAACAACAAGCACCAGCGTTCTCACCACCTTCTTTTAATGGGCCTATGAATTATTTACGTCGGCCCTAGTAGGGTCTGACATAAATTTTAACATCTATGTCGGACACAATGCATAGCCGACGTAGATGTTAAAATTTACGTCGGACCCTAGGAGGTCTGACGTAAATAATTTAACTAAAACTATGAAACATGCTACCGCGTTTTTATTACATCGGGTGTTTATATGTCCAACATAAAATAGGTGACATAATATCATAATTTTCCACTAGTTGTATGTTTTATTCTTTTTATTCCCCTGTAATTAAGTGTGGCTACTACTGCTTCCGACACCCCTTGCGAAGATGATTTCTCATCCATTTATTTCTGTTTTCTACCAAGAAATTGATGACCAAAGGAAGTATACAATTAATTAATTAAAATTGTAAAGGCATAGGTATTTAATATTTTAATGCATTCTGCCGATATAATTAGATCGAGTCTCAATTCTCTTGGCCTAATTCATTTGAACAGTGGGATTAAGTTCATGTTGAATTAAATCGGGCTAGATATTTATTCATAAAAAAAAAGGATTAGATATGTAATATTTTTTTAAATGAGAAAAAAATTATTAACCTAAGCCAAATTTATATATGCCGTAAGTAATATATATATATATATATATATATATATATATATATATAAAAATGTATATAGATATATATATATATATATATATATATATTTTAAACTCGTAGATGTCAATCCAATGCCAGTGGACATAGTTACGTCAAATCAGATTAAAATATATGATGCATAAAAAAAGATTAAAATATAAGATAATGTTATTATAAGTCATGCTTACATAATTTGTCATCTATCATTTTGATAATTGATATCACCTCGCCTCCTTTTATATCCTGGTGTTTTAAATATCATTTTCTAATTTCTATTTGATCAGAATGATCTCTATCGAGTATTTTACTGTTTGAAATTCCTGCTGAAAACAAGATTTATTAGATGCTGGTTTTTTTTATATTTAATTTTTAGTACATGTGATATTTGATAAGAATATCAACTTTATTAAAAATTAGTCTCTCTCTCATAAAAAATGATTAGTAAACTTTTTGATAAAAATTAATCCTCGACGAGATAGTAATACTTCATGGTAAAATAAATTTAAAGCATTTATTAAATAATTCTTTATTGATATGATTGATATATTAGTATTAGCAGTGTATTTTGATAGATACTGTTTTAAATGGAAAGTTTATTTTTAATAATTTACGAATGGAAATTTAAAAACAATTATTTACCTAAAATTATCATTTTTAAACTGTCTCATTAGAGCTAATAATCCATTAAACATACTCTTACTCCATATCTATCGTTTAAAGTTATTCTACATAGACTAAACAAACAAAAGAAATATATTTTTAATGCATACCACTAAAAAAATTAATGTTTGTAAATTTTTATTTATAATGTTTTAAAATTTGAATATAACATCTGTATTAATCATATTTTTGATAAATTAATATTAATAATATCATTAAATATTTATAGGTAAATTAATAATTCAATAAATATAAATTACTATATACTTTTAAAATAAATATAAATATATTAAAAGAACGTTAATTAAAAATATATGATATAGTTCTTTCGGAGATATTTAATAGAAATGAAAATATATGTTTCAAATATAAATTTTAGTAACTAAAATATATAAATTAAATTTTTATACTTACCTCATTTATTATATATTTATATTTATCTAAAAATATATACTTTTTTTTTTCTTCAAATTACCGGTTTACATATAAATATTTTAATAATATTATTAATATCAATTTATCAATGATACTCTTAATACTAATAATATATGATAACTTTTTTTTTAAAAAAAAGATATCACAGTTAATTGAGCAAAGTGTCTAGATTCTTGTAAATTTTCTTGGTAGCTTCAATTCTCACAAATCATAAAATATACATAGTAAATTCTTTTTTTTAAGTAATAGTTACTAGTACAAAATAATATGATGATTACAGTTCACCCACTATAAAAAATGATGCAATGAAATTATTGTAAATAATGAAAAACTTTCTATGACAAAAAAAAGTGATAACATTTTTTGTAAATAATGTAAAAGTTCCTATGTCTATTGGACAAACAAGTAACATGTAACGACCCAATAGGAAATTATATCAAAATTTTGTACATATATACAAACATATAATTATCCGAACTATAAAATATAAAATCTTAAATTTTTAGTTAAGTAACTACTAAATTAGTTGTAATATAACAATTATGACCAAAACATTATCATCTCTAGTATGACATCTCAACCTACTCACCTTCTAACCTAATTTTACCTTATTACCATAATAAAATATCATTATAATTCAACAACATGAAAAAATAAGGATAAGCTCGACCATAATCAAGGAAATAACATAGTATAGAAATAATAAATTAACTATATAAATAACTTTGTCAACAAAACACAACATAACTTGACATCATGGAATAAATATTTCAATACAACTTTACTACTTAGCAACTTTTCAACTTACAACATAAATACACAACTCATCATCACATCAACTTAGCATATGTACAACACTACTTATCAACAACACAACAACTTAGCAATACAAAAACTAAATAACACAACAACGTTAACAACATAAGAACTTATGAGTCATTATAGATCTCTTACAACACAAGTGATCAATTTAAGTGGTTTGACTCTACCAAACTAATTTAACAACACGATCTTTTTGACTTGCTAGATTAACAAACTTGAATATCAATTCATAACATAACATGATTTTTTGAATTTTGTCACTTAAACTAAGAAAACTGAATATTTCTATTAGGAATAAAACAACTTAGGTATGAACTTACCTCGACATTAGTATGCATCAACTAATCCTATATGAAATTAACCCGTTGATTACCCTCTATATACTATGCACCTTTCTAGTAAATAGTTAAGAATTTTACCCTTTGATTTCATATCTTACTTGAATTGACTAATTCTAAATCAATATGACTTAACCTAACTCCCATACAATAATCTCTAAGTACTTAGAGAAGACTCAACACTCCACTTCAAGAGACAAAAATATTCAAGAAGGGTTTTTCAACAATTGAATTCTTAGAACACCACAATATATATCCACTAAATAGGATACTTTAACTTTAAAAACAAAACATTTCTTCTAATTCTAAGTTCATAGCACAGTTCAACATCATGTATCTTATTAACATAATTCAACACAATAACGCGCCTTATGCATATCACAACACAATACTACACAACAACAAACTTCACATATTCATTTAGGATACTCACACCTAGAGTGACCAGGCCCACACTTGACATCAAATAAGGCAAAGAACTTATGAAATGACAAACATGATGGTGGAAGACGATGTGGAGAAGATGTTATGTAAGTGAACATGGTGGTGAAAGTGGTTACAACAAAACATGAAGAGTATGTTGTGGTGTCATGTTGGAGGCGTAGAGGATAAAAAGCAACATTGAGAGAAAAAATGTGGTGAAAAAACAATGGTCAGCCTAAAATAGAGACTTTTTATGTTATTCATGTTGTAGTAATAATGTTTGTGTAATTTTGGTCTCCATTGAAGGTATATTTATACTATACATAAAGGGATATCTCTTTGAGTAATTTTCATTTGATTTCCTTTTTTTATTAGATATCTTTACTCCTTATTCATACTACACATTTTATTATTTTGTTTTCATAAATTTTAAAACCACTCACTTTTCATATAAAAAATAATTTCACACTTGCGTACGTTAATCTATACTTTTACTTATTTCCATATAAATTCATATTTTCTTTTTTTAAAAAAAAGTCTCATATCTCAAATCTCTTGCAATCATCTTCCCTTAAAACCCTTCAATATTAAATATATTCTCTTAAAACCCTTCAATATTAAATATATTCTCTTAAAACCCTTCAATATTAAATATATTGAGGCACGAGGTGCCTCTTTCTTCTACTAATATCAATAGACGTTGATTTAAATATTTTATTTTCATAGTTTTCCCTCAATTTCAAGAGTATTACTAATTTATAATATATGTAAAAGAGATGCCTACTTGAGTAACTTCCATTTGGTTTCTATTTTTTATTAGACATCTTTATCCTTTACTCGTATTATACATTTTATTATTTTATTTTCATAAATTTTAAAACCACCTATTTTTCATATAACAAATAACTACCCACTTCTACCATCTATACAATAATTGATTCTCAAATCTCATATCTTGAATTTCTTGCAATCATCTTCTTTCAAAATCCATCAACATTAAATATATTGAGACACGAAGAATTTCTTTTTCCTATTAGTATATTATAACTTTCATTTATATATTAAAGAAATTCATTAGTTTAATAGTTAAGTATTACAATTGCAAGTAGAAAATGAACCTAATTTATAAAAAAAAATCATATTAATTGAAAACTTAATTAATGAATAAATTAATTTTAGCTTACATAAAAATTTAATTTTTTCTCTTTATTTTATTCTTTTGTGAGACTAAAAGTTTTTATAAAGAAGATATCGAATCAAGTATTTAATTTATTACTAAGAATCTATTTGAGTATGTTTCTTTAAAAATGATTTTAGGAGGGAAAAAAAACTTCTTTATGAGTTAAAATAACTTATATAGATTAATTTATAAAAACTCTTTTTTATTAACTTCTCTAACATCTTATTTTTAACGAATACATAAACTAGTTTTATATTATAAAAAAAGTTATTTCAAATGTTGTTATAATTTGTTTTGCTTCTAAAAATATTTCAAAAAAGTATATTTATTAATTGAAAGATATGTTTAATATAAATAAAATAGGAAAAAAGGGTGTGAAGTTGCGATTAGGCCTACTCCTGAAACAGTATCACATCATATGGTTAAGGATGGGGAGTGGGGTCCAAGTAGATTAGAGTAAATAATTTAGATTAGGCAGAGAGTGGTTCCCTTTTGTGTAACTAAATCTAAAAAAGCAAAAAGAAGAAGAACAAAAGGTCCCTGTTAGACCCAAAAGCTTGACATTGACCCTCTCTTACCCCTAAATGCTTCAGTGGGCACGGCATCTCCCTCACCGTGAAAGACAAGCACTCAACAAAGTTTTTGAAACAGAATATAACTTCTAAAATTTATATATAAATAATATCATAATTTCCACCACTCCAATTCTTTTACTTTTACTCTCCCACAGAATCTATGCCCACCATGACATGTGTTTCATCCGTGGCCAAACCCACCTATTTTCCAAAAATGTTTTTCAAAGAGTATCACATTTTTTTACCTTTTACATTTAACAAAAGTATATACTTGCCATCTTTTATTTTTACACACAAAATGAAAATTGAACTCTATTTCATTTATAATAATAATAAAGACAGCAGTGAGTGCATGGATCAATTACCGTGGGTGGTTATTTCAGTTTACTAAATAGTTTTGGGTTGAAATTTTCATATCATTATTACATTCGACTGGAAAAACTGTTTACTATTGACAGTAAATTTAAATAGTGTCTAAAAAGAATCTTGGTAAAGATTTAAACAGTTGCTAAAAGTGGAATAAAAGTATTTTCTTTTTATTTTTAAAAAAGAAAGATTGTCATCTCCCCACAAAAGCAGCAGCATCCTCTTGACGATGAACTACATCAAGTCATCAATCCAAACTCCAACACTCACAATCTCTCTCTCTCTCTCTCTCTCTTCTTCCAACTTCTCTCATTTCTCACACACTCACTCCAATAAATAATTCTCCCCTCCAACCCAAACGAAATACTAATACTACATAAAAACATCACTTGGAAATACTGTTATTATTATATTATTATTATTATTACATTTGCATATATGCTCGCCGGCGATGCCGACGCCGGTAAGCACCGCGAGGCAATGCCTGACAGAGGAGGCGGCGCGTGCCCTCGACGACGCCGTGAGCGTGGCCCGGCGGCGCAGCCACGCCCAGACCACCTCCCTCCACGCCGTCTCCGCCCTCCTCTCCCTCCCCTCCGCCTCCCTCCGCGCCGCCTGCTCCCGGTGCCGCAGCTGCTCATACTCCCCGCGCCTCCAGTTCCGCGCCCTCGAACTCTCCGTCGGCGTCTCCCTGGACCGCCTCCCCACCACGAAATCCTCCGCCGCGGGCGACGGCATCGAGGAGGGTCCTCCGGTCTCAAACTCCCTGATGGCCGCCATAAAACGGTCCCAGGCGAACCAGCGGCGGCACCCCGACAGCTTCCACCTGATGCAGATGATTCAGCAGAACCAGAATCATCAAAGCACTTCTTCCCTCCTCAAAGTGGAACTCAAACACTTCATTCTCTCCATCCTCGACGACCCCATCGTAAGCCGCGTCTTCGCCGAAGCCGGTTTCCGAAGCTACGACATCAAGCTCGCCCTCCTCCAACCTCCCCCACCTTCCAGAATCTTCCCTCGCCTCGCCCCGCCCCTCTTCCTCTGCAACCTCGAACCGCTTCAAGCCGCCGCCTCCAGCCCCACCCTCGACCCCAATTCCCGCAGAATCCTCGAGGTCATCACCAGAAAGACCAAAAGGAACCCCCTTTTGATGGGGGTCTTCGCCAAACCCGCTCTCAACACTTTCCTAGAATGCGTCAAAACCGGTAAAGCTGGCCTTTTTTCCGATGAACTCGCCGGGCTCACCGCCGTCTCCGTCGAGAGGGAGGTTTCTGAGCTCGTGAGGCACGGTGCCGGCAAGGGGAACGTTTTCGAGGAATTGGGTCGGTTGGTGGAGCAGTGTTCCGGTGCTGGTGTTGTTGTGTGTTTCGGTGAGGTCGAGGTTTTTGTTGGGGATGTGGGGAATGAGGAGGGTGTTGGGTTCGTTGTTTCGCAGTTGACGAGGTTGTTGGGGGTTCATGGTGGGAAGGTTTGGTTGGTGGGTGTGGCGGGAACCTCTGAGGCTTATTCTAAGTTCCTCAGGTTGTTCCCTACTGTTGACAAGGATTGGGATCTGCATCTCCTGACCATGACCTCTGCCATCCCTTCCATCGAAGGACTCTACCCTAAGTCCAGGTGGGTTACTTTCCCTTCAAAAATGGAACCTATGTGTACTATTTATTTAGTCTATTTTGGGATGGGAGTATTATATTATTATATTACTCCTATATGGAAAGCCACGAGTGTGTTTAGATGTGTGTGCAATTGTGTGTGACATTTTTTTGTTGTTGTTGAAATAAAGTTGACATACAAATGATCAGGTGTAAATTGAAGGTTCTGACTCGTCTGTGTTTTTTGAAATTTTTCACTTACTTCTTGACTTAATTCTATGATCCAATTGGTTTGCTTGCTTTTAGTTCCTTCCCTTTCCTGTACTCCTTTTCTCTCACTTTTAAAGTTGTTTGGTTACAGTGGACGCAGAAGGTGGACATAGAAAGGAAGGAGTTTTTTTTTTTTTAAAATGTTGTTTTATTTGAATTTTAATCTACTCTCGAGCATGACCAAGAAATTATTATATGGTTCAGAAGTATAACCTATCAAATGTTTATAGTTCTGACTAATCTTCACTTCACAGTAATAGGTGGAGAGTTAACAATTATTTACTCTGGTGAAGTTGGTGATTCAATTTGTTTTGTTTTCATAGAAAAAAAATAATTATTCACTTACTATAGATTTGTTGTAGCGTACTATGCTGGGAACAAGTGAATCTGAATTCTGAGAGGCTTCGTATAGTTTGGGGGGCTTAGGCCAATTTCTTTCATGCAAGGTGGAAAGGTCGCAATCAGTGTTCATTAACACGATCTATATCTTTGCATGTATAGAATTTGCAGAGATTTAGGTTGTGGATTCGCATGTGTGGTCTCATGAGCCATAAATGTTATCTATACCCGCAGGCTTTTTGCTGAATGCTATGATAAATGCTTCTTCTTTTTCTGCTCCCGTGGCCCACGGGCCCCTCTTCTCCTTCGAGGGTTATGATTTATGAAAATATTTTCACTCTGGATGATACCTTAAAGGATCATTTTTAGAGCCCATCAAGTCAAATCAAATATACATACTTGCCCATAATAATTTTCATTTGGGTTGATTTTATGATATGTATATTGGTGGGTGTGATGATGCTTTTTATGTCTTATCTCTTTATGTGCACTTTAGCTTCTTACACTTTAACCTTGCAGCTTGATGGGGTCCTTTGTGCCATTTGGAGGGTTCTTTTCTACGCCATCTGAGTTCAAAAATCCCTCGAGTTGTATGAATGCTTCATCATCTTTAACTCGGTGTGACACATGCAATGAAAAGTATGAAGAAGAAGTTGCTGATATTTTGAAGGTAGGCCATGCTACTTCGGCATCAACGAGCTTGCCTTGGTTACAAAAGGTTAATGTGGACACAGATAGAGGATTGGAGGTGGCAAAGGTGTGTGTTATCATCACCTAATCTTGTTTTCCTCTTTGTTCAATGCATGCAGAGACATTCACATGCTCACACACATACATGCAACATCTTGGGGGCAATTGCTGTACTGACCCACTAAAATAATTTAGAGGTACGCAGTAATAATGAATGATAAATGCCTACAATGGGAAAAAAATTAAAAACATTTTCCCATTAAGAAAGCAAGGTGGCAATAATGTAGTGATTTATACGTAGCGAACTATAATAGTAGTATTTCTCTAATCTACTTTGTCAGTATATACTTTTTTATTATGGAGCCTATGGCTTTTTGATGATCAAATAGAAAAGTGCACATTCAGAGATTGGAATTATTGAACTAAACGAGATTACTAATGTCTCTGAAAGTTGATTAAGATTAGAAAGCATGTTGTATGCTAACATGTATATATACATTTTTTAATACTTTGGTCCTACCTCATACATCTGCAATCTGGATGGACCTAGGTGGAGAAGTGGGGGCTATGGCAGTCCCAAACCCAAAATGTTTCCCATGTGTAGTGTAGACAATATTTTAGGAATATAAAGGTTAAATCTACTCTCTCATAAAATTATAATAATTAACACTTCAACCATATGCTTTCTAACCATGTTCTTGTCTGCATTGGTTGAAAGGACTTCCTCTGGGTTGAATATTGGGAAATAAGAAAATCATACTCTTTCTTTATTTGAGATAGCTCATGTGGAACATTTGCAAGCAAAAGTTCTTCTAAAATACTTTATCAAGAAAAACTATTATGAATTATATGATAGAGATAAATCTCAATTTGGTTTTCTTAAGTTGTATGCATCACTACATTATTCCTTCAAAATTTTGGTCATCAAATTAGTGCCTAGAAAATTTAAATTGGCTCCATATTTGTCTTCCAGAGATTATTTTAGGAAATAAATCATTTAAAGATTTAAAATCTTCCCAAATTATTCTTTTAAAGATCTAAAATGTTGTCATCATATTGGTCCTTATTGAGGACTAAAATGATGTAAATAAAATATTTTTTTTATGGTTTAATTTGGTAATAGATAATCTTTGAGGGAAAGAATTTAAAATGTCCCCATAATCATTGTGTAAAACTAAAGTGTCGCTAAAAAGAATCTTTTAAGAAACTAATTTAGCAACAGATTACTTCTTCGAGGGACTAATTTGGTGATAATATCTTTGGTGGACTAAAGTGGTAACACAATGATTATACAAGAGACTAATTTGGTGATAATATCTTTGGAGGACTAAAGTGGTAACAAAATGATTATATAAGAGACTAATTTGTTGAAAATATAGTACTAAATCGGGGGTTCTCTCTTTATAACATTGGATTTTCTCATGCCAAGCTGTGAGTATTCTTTTTTCTTTTTCTTGCTTATACCTTTCTCTCTTGATTAAAATTCTTGGGTACACCATTGTCAATAATCTTGTTTTGTATTATGTGTCATGCTTCATTTATTCAATTTATGGCCGTATTTATTTAAGAATGAACTTCATCATCCAGTGCAGACTAATGAAGAAAATACAAGTTTGAACACAAAGATCTTCGGATTGCAAAGAAAATGGAGTGATATCTGTCATCGTCTTCACCAAAACCGATCATTACCCGAATTTGATATCACCAAAACAAGATTCCAAATTCCTTCCCATGAAGGGTTTCAATTTGGTCCAGGAAGCAGCAGCAAAGGTCCACCTCACAGTGAACCCCAATATTCTAATCAAATTTCCTACATGTCTAAAGAGTCACAAAGTGCATTTCCATTTAGACAGATATTACCAGTTTCAGCACCTTTTGACAGCGTTAATATCACTGATGAAGCAGACCACATACCAAATGTTTCAAAGAGTGACATGCAGAATACTTGGATTTCTCCTTCTCATAAGGCCAATATGGGCCCTCTTGATCACAAATCATCTTCATCCCTCACTCCTGTGACCACAGATTTGGGATTGGGAACAATATATACATCAGCTGCTCATGAGCCAGAAACTCCAAAACTAAGTGATCATAAGAAGCATCTTCAGCACTTGTCAGACTCCCTTTCAACTGATTTTGATGCTTTGAATGAGAATACTTCACACCAAATTGCTAGATCTTCTTCCTGCTCTGGTCCAAATCTGGAAGGGAAATTTGAAGCAGTAGATTTCAAGTCACTTTACCATCTTCTCTCTGAAAAGGTTGGCTGGCAGGATGAGGCCATATATGCTATCAATCGAACCGTGTCGCGTTGTAGATCCGGTGCTGGCAAGCGTAACGGCTCACATGTTAGAGCTGACATATGGCTTGCATTCCTTGGACCAGATAGACTTGGAAAAAGGAAACTTGCTTCAGCACTTGCTGAGGCTTTGTTTGGAAACAAACAAAGCCTAATCACAGTGGATTTGAGATTACAAGATAGGTGTTATCCAGCAGACTCGATTTTTGAGTTCCAAAATTCACATTGTCATGATGTTCTTATGAGGAAGACAGTTGTGGACTATGTTGCTGGTGAGTTGAGTAAAAAGCCACATTCAGTTGTCTTTCTTGAAAATGTAGATCAAGCTGATTTCCTTGTGCAGAATAGTTTGTTCCAAGCAATAAGAACAGGTAAGTTTCAGTACTCGCATGGAAGGGAAATCAGCATCAACAATGCAATCTTTATTGTAACATCTGGTGTGTTTAAAGGTAGTGCCACTTTCGATTTGGAGGAGGAGCCTAAAATGTTTCCTGAGGAAAGAATCCTAGAAGCCAAAAGATGTCAAATGCAATTATCACTTGGACATGCTTCTGAGGATGCCAAAAGGAGTGGTTGCACAAATGTGAAAGTTGCACATAGAAAAGGGACAACGAAAACATTTCTAAATAAAAGAAAGCTAATAGAAAGTGGTGGTTCCAAAGAGAAAGCATCATGCAAGACACTGAAACAGGTCAAGGAGGCATCAAGGTCCTATCTGGATCTGAATATGCCTTTGGAGGAAGTTGAAGAGGGAAACAATTACAATGATTATGAAAGTGAATCAACAGTTGAAGACTCTGGGGCCTGGCTACATGATTTGTGTGATCAAATTGATGAAAAAGTTGTCTTTAAGCCATTCAATTTTGATTCTCTTGCTGAGAAAGTAATAAAAAGCATTGACATACAATTTCAAAAGATGTTTGGACCAGAGTTTGTGCTGGAAATTGAGTATGAGGTCATGGCACAGATACTTGCAGCTGCTTGGTTATCAGACAAGAAAAAGGCAGTGGAGGATTGGGTTGAACTTGTTCTTGGCAGAAGCTTTGCTGAAGCTCAACAGAAGTACAACTTTGCACATGAATATGTGATGAAACTGGGTAGCTGTGAAAGATTTTTTGTGGAAGAACAATCTCCTGGAGTATACCTTCCAGCTAGAATTAACTTGAACTGAATTTTTGCTCACTATGTATTTTGTAATTACTTGTAAAATGTAGCTTGTAGGATATAGCATTTGGTAGTCACTAGCATTTTTCGGCTAATCAATACCACAATTTTTTCTTTTGTGGTGATCATTGTGATGCAATTCCTATGGTAAAAGAATGTGTATCTTTACCAGTTTTTCTTTTAGTTCTAATGTCTTTTTGCATTGATTTTTCTTTTTCTATCTCATCCGAGACTAATAAAATTTGCTACAAGTTTTATATAACATCACATTAATGTATTAAGGTTACTAGTTCGACTCTTCGATCTTATGTTTTTATTTTGGTCCATTCAACCCTCTATATAGTTCTTGAAAATGTATTAAGAGGGGTTTATAACTCCATGACAAGAATAAAATAGGATAGAACCAACCACCTAACCACCTCTCTATCTATAAGAGTATGATAATATTAGAATATTATATTAAATTATTGGTAATTTAATATAAGTATTGCATTCATTTTAATTGTTATAGACTTATATGACAATATGGATGATAATATGAAGTCGTATGGAAACATGCACATTGTGTGGCTCCAATGTACGAGTATGACAGTATTTAAATGTAATAATAAATAGGGATCTTAATCTTATCCTGTTAATTCATCAATATGACTATATTCATTTAATTTGATTAATTTTCTACTATTCTTAAATGTGAGTTTCAAAAATTATAAATATCACATTTAATAGCTTTTTGAAAGAAATTCCTCTATGAAAGGTTATAATTAAGATATTGGAGTAAAATTTTAGGCTATTATCTTTAATATAGTGTTTTTAGGAAATTTTTTCATCCCCTAGTCTATTATTTATTATTATTATTATTTATTTTTATATTTTTAGTTTTATATTGAATTTCAATACTTCTTAAAAAATTATCAACAATGTTTTTAATTTTTTGTATCAATAATTAAAATAATATTAATATTATATTATAAATTTAAAATATTTATTTATTAAAATTTTAATTATATTATAATTATAATTCATATATTCAAAAAGGTATTTGTTTATTATAAATTTTAATTATACAAAATAAACATTTATATTAGAGGAGGATTCGAACGACAACGATGTAACTTTTATTAAGGAATACATTACTCAATAACATTATATTAAATGTAAATTTTGTAAATTCAACCGTTGAATTATAACCTCATATCACTTTATATATTTATATCAAATTTTGTTAAAATTTAACAATAACTTAAGGTAATCAAAGTATTCATATTTTATTATATTTTGAAATGCATATATTATGTCAATTTTGTTTTATAAGAATCGATGTATTAAATCATCTTTGATTAATATAAAATTTTGTATATATGATCTAAGAGTAAATAATTTTCAACCTAACGGTTGAATTTATAAAATTTACATTTAATATAAAGTTATTAAGTGGTGTAATACTTAGTAAAAATTATACCGGTATCGTTTTAACCATTCTCATCTAAAATACTATATTTAGAAAAAAAAATGTGTGTTTGAGAAAGAAGATTTTGCATTTTAGCTATTTTCACTGAAAAAATTGTTTCCAAAAAAAATAATCTAAATAGTTGAAAAATAGATTATATATATAAGCAACTTTTTTAAATAAAAAAAAAGTTTTTTTCAAGAATCTAAAAATAAGCAACTTTTTCAACAACTTTTTTTTTCTTTTTAAAACTGATTTATTACTTAAAATCTAATTTTTTGTTGTATCAAAATGAAATTAAATATATCAAAGTCGTTTTTCATCCAACTTACCCAAACAAAAATTTATTATAATTAATAATCAATCATTAAAATAAGGAAAAATTGTATTCACCTCTCTTAAAGTCTATTTAAATGACACACTTCTCTTCTAGTTTTTAAAAATCACTCACCTCCTTAGAAATAATGTCATTGGTTAAAGTTAAAAAAAAGTCAATTCATATTCTATCAATTCACACACACACACACACACACACACACACACACACACACACACACACACA